CTATGGTCTGAATGTTTGTGTCCCCCTAAAATTCATATGTTGAAACCTAATCTCTAAGGTGACAGCATTAAGAAGTGGGGCCTTTGGGAGGTGCCTAAGTCATGAGAACAGACACCTCTTTCCTTTATAAATTACCCAGCCTTGCGCAGTATTTTATAGCAGCGTGAGAATGAACTAATACACCATTTATGAAGAAACAGGCCTTCCCCAGACACCAAATCTGCCTGAGACTTGACCTTGGACTTCTCAGCATCCAGAACCATGAGAAACAAATTTCTGTTGTTTATAAACACTTCAGTTTATGGCATTTTGTTCCAGCCACTGAATGGACTAAAACACTTATCCACTAGACTCCAGAAAAGTAATTTAATTTAGTTGGGCAAATCCGCATACTATGATTTTCAGTTTTATCTTCATTCTTTTTTTGGTACAGAAGCAGATGGATTTTTCCTCATAAGTTTCAGTTATGATTTCAAATAGCTGTAGTGTGGAACCATACCTCCCAAAATACTGTGTCTTCTGGGCAAAATCTGTATGGAAGAGGGCCAGCTTTTGGATTCCCATTTCACCTAGAATAAAATCCAAACTCCTTGATAGGACTTGCAGGAGTGAGTCATCTGCCACTTGCCATCCTCTCCTCAAGCCACACCCCTGCCCTCTGCTCTTCAGCTAAGCCCCATGGGCCTCCTTTGGCTTGGGATACACAAAGACACTGAGCACATTCTCTCTTCAAACCCATGAAAATGCTGGTTCCTTTGTCCAAAAACCTCCCTTCCATCTCTTTGTATGCCTGGTTTTCCCTCAACTTTTATGTTTCCCTCACAGTCTATCTCAAGTAAATCTCTCCCCAACTACTCTCTATTATAGTCTGATATGGTTTGGCCATGTCCCCACTCAAATCCCCAATTGTAACTCCCATAATTCCCACCTGTTGTGGGAAGGACCCAGTGGGAGCTAACTGCATCATGGGAGCATTTTTTTTCCCATACTGTTCTCATGGTAGTGAATAAGTCTCAGGATATCTGATGGTTTTATAAAGGGAAACCCCTTTCACTTGGTTCTCATTTTCTCTTGCCTGCCGCCATGTAAGACATGCCTTTAGCCTTCCTCCCTGATTGTGAGGCCTCCCCAGCCATGTGGAACTGTGAGTCTATTAAACCTCTTTTCTTTATAAATTATCCAGCCTTGGGCATGTCTTTTAATTAGCAACATGAGAACACTCTAATACATAGTACCTGCTTAATTTTCTTCACATCCCAATCATAGGCTATAATTATTGAGATATTTATTGCTTTTTCTCTTTTGTTTGTAGTCTGTCTCCTCCCACTACAATATGAATTCCTTGAGGTCAAAGGCCTTTGTCCCATCTTGTTCAGCACTGTATCTCTTTCCAAGTGCAACAATTTATAGTTTAGAAGTAAAAAAATATTTGCTGAATCAATGGATAAATGGAAAAGGCTCTTACCAGCGATTCTGAAGACCTGTGTTCTAGGCTGATTCTACTATTGATCAGCTTTGTAATCTTAGATAAATCCCAACCTTTCTGAACCCTAGTGCATTCATCTGTAAACTAAAGAGGGGTACTAGATGCATTGAGGTTAAGGTGGCTGCAGAGTTTTGATGCTTCATTCTTCCTTCTTTGCTTCCTTACAACAATACCAGAACAACCAGTATTGAGGGAAGCCTTAGAAGAAAGCATGCATGGGTCTTGAGGTAGAACAATAGGCCGAGGATGTATAATAGCAGAATTTTAATCAGCTTCAGTGCATCCCCATCTCAAAGGCATAAGTCTGGCTTTCACCTACAGTACCTAATAGCCACTTTCCTACTGTGTGAGAGCTGCTTCTCCACCACTACTGCCATCCCTTCCGTATCTTCCCCAGTATTAGAATGACAAAACTATCACCTGAGGACCTGGGAGCAGCATGGAGAGAAACACCACATCCAGAAGGACCTCTTGTTGGAATGTCCAGTATTTGTGAAGGTGTCATGGTGGAGAAGATGCTGATATGGACTGGCAGAGAGAAGTGGGGAGAACATTTCAAGATAAGGAGTGGAATGCCATGAGTGTGGAATAGTGGTCATGCCATTTTGGAGGTGCGTCCAAGTTGCCCTACTAAATGCTGTGTTCACTGCCCATTGTCAGCCTCTGGAATCTTTTCATAGCTTTCTTCACAGGGCTGTGCTATGGAGGCAGGAGGGCTGTCCTTGATAACTTGTTATTTGTTTCATGAAAATTCTTTGCGTGATTTATTTTTTTTTTTTTTTTTTTTTTTGAGTTGGAGTTTCACTCTCGTTACCCAGGCTGGAGTGCAATGGCGCAATCTCAACTCACTGCAACCTCCGCCTCCTGAGTTCAAGCAATTCTCCTGCCTCAGCCTCTCGAGTAGCTGGGACTACAGGCATGCATCACCATGCCCAGCTAATTTTTGTATTTTTAGTAGAGATGGGGTTTCACCATGTTGACCAGGATGGTCTCGATCTCTTGACCTCGTGATCCACCCACCTCGGCCCCCCAAAGTGCTGGGATTATAGGTGTGAGCCACCGTGCCTGGCCCCAATTCTGGGCTTTTGACATGAAGCAGGACTTGGTGGGATCCATGTGACAACACGTTGGCAAAGAAGATATATAAATCATGAAACTAAGAAAAAATGAGCCACAGGAAAATGTGAGCACTAGCGCTTAGTGAAGGGGGGGAGATGGTAGAAAGCTGCTGATGGAAAAGGGAGGTTTGACTGGAATTTCCGGTACAGAATTCAAAGATAGACTGAGAAAAGACCTTGGAACTCACAGAACTGAGATGATTAGTTCATTAAGTAGGAAATCAAAATTCAAGACTTTGAGAGAGGAAGTAGAGCTAGAATGTAGACTACTCAAGTTTTAGATGTGAAAATAAGGAAATAGCAAAAGGGAAAACGAGCCAGGGATAAAGAATTTTAAAAATTTGTTGTGGAGTGTTTTTTGTTTTCTTCTGAGGAATGTGGGTGGATGGTTAAGAAGCTTAGCATAGTGGAGACCTGGGCCTGTTTCTAAGCAGAAGAAAGCCTTCCAGAGGACAGAGGCAGCTGAAGAAATTATTCTTGCACAAGTCTGAGGCTAGAAGTCCAAAATGCAGATGTCAGCAAAGCTGGTTCCTTCTAAGGCTCTAAGGGAAAACCTTTTCCCCGCCTGTCTCCTGGTTTCTGGCTGCCAGCAGTCTTTGGTGTTTCTTGGTTTGTAGCTGCATCACTAGATTCTGCATCACAGAAATGGACAGTGGAAAGGAAACGCAGAGGGACTCGTGGATTGAGGTGAAGAGGATGAGGGGGTAAGAAAGACAAAGTGGAATAACCTGGAGGGGGTTTAAAGGAAGTGGGAGAACTGTCCACCTTCATCTTTCAATCATCATTTTTTAGTTTTTCTTTTGGCAGTTTACACCGACATGGATTTAAAATTTGTGAGAAGAAAAATCTGTTGTAGCAAAGGCATTGCCCAACCTACCTGTCAGTCCAACTCCACGACTGAGCACCAGATGGTGCCCTGCCCAGGGCCAAGGGACCTTTCTGGTGGCTGTAGAGTTCAGTGCACAGCCTCAGCCACTCTTAGGCGACTTTCCTCAATTGCAAATGAACTGAGCCCAGCCTACTCAACCTTCCCTTCCTTTTCTAAATTACTGATAAAGTCTACTGTCCCAACCATCTGTCCTTTTTAGGAGCAAATCTTCTCGAAAGGGCTGTCATTAGTTGCGGTCTCCACTTCCTCAAGTCCCATTTTCTCCTCAGCCCACTCCAGTCATGCTTGTGTCCCATCTTCTCTCCTGAAGTCAGCAGTAGCGTCCGTGGTACCAAATTCAGTGTCCACTCTTGTGCCCACTTGCCAGTCTGTTGGCTTCATGATGCCGCACTTTCTTAAACCTCCCTCTGCTTCACTGACCCCTAGCAGACACCTTGGCTGCTTCCAACTGAGCCTTCTCTTCTCCAACTGTTCTCTCACCCAAGGCGGTCTCCTCAGCCCATCTCTATCATCCGCCACTAGGTCATAAAAGACATTGTAGATTCTGGATATTAGTCCTTTGTCAGATGAGTAGATTGCAAAATATTTTTCCTATTCTGTTGGTTGCTGATTCGCTCTTACGATGGTTTCTTTTGCTGTACAGAAGCTCTGAATTTTAATTAGATCCCATTTGTCTATCTTGGCTTTTATTGCTGTTGCTTTTGGTGTTTTAGTCACGAAGTTCTTGCCTATGCCTGTGTCCTGAATGGTTTTGCCTATGTTTTCTTCTAGTGTTTTTATGGTGTTAGGTTATATGTTTAAATCTTTAATCCATCTGGAGTTAATTTTAGTGTAAGGTGTCAGGAAGGGGTCCAGTTTCTACTTTCTGCACATTGCTAGCCAGTTTTCCCAGCACCATTTATTAAAAATGGAGTCCTTTCCCCATTGCTTGTTTTTGTACAGTGTGGCAGTTTCTGAAGGATCTAGAAATAGAAATTCCATTTGACCCAGCAATCCCATTACTGGGTATATACCCAAAGAACTATAAATCGTTCTACTATAAAGACACATGCACACGTATGTTCATTGCAGCCCTGTGTACAATAGCAAAGACCTGGAACCAACCCAAATGCCCATCAATGATAGACTGGACAAAGAAAATGTGGTACATATACACCGTGGAATACTACGCAGCTATAAAAAACAATGAGTTCGCGTCCTCTGTAGGCACTTATGAATCTGGAAACCATCATTCTGAGCAAACTGACACAAGAACAGAAAGCCAAACACTGCGTGTTCTCACTCATAGGTGGGTGTTGAACAATGAGAACATGTGGACTCAGGGAGAGGAGCATCACACACTGGGGGCAGTTGGCAGGGGTAGGGGAGAGACAGCAGGGGGTGAGGAGGGAATGGAGGGTGGGAAGGGATAACGTGGGGAGAAATGCCAGATACAGTATGCATCTAAAGTAAAATAAAAGTTTTTTAAAAAGACATTGTAGTTTCACTCTTGCTTACATACTCCAAGGGAAGCTAGCTGCTGTGTCCTGAGGAGACTCAAGCAGTCCTACAGAGAAGCAGACATGCCAAAGAAGTGAGACGTATTTCCAACTTTCAGAGAGGAACGGAGACCTCTGCCAACAGCCGTGTGAGTAAGCCATCTTGGAAACAGATCCTCCAGCCCCAGTCAAGCCTTCAGATGACCACAGCCTCTGTTAGTGACTTGACTGCAACATTCTGAGAGATGCTGAGTCAGAACCACCCAGCTAAGCTGCTCCCAGATTCCTGACCTTCAGAAATTGTGTTAGATAATAAATGTTTGTTGCTTTAAGTCCCTAAACTTTGGGGTGATTTGGTATGCAGCAATTGACAAGTAAAACTCCCATGCTGGCCTCATCTTTCAATGCCTCCGCACCATGCTCCCACAGTACTCATATACCTGAAGCACACCCAACTTGTTCCTGACCAACACCCTGTCTCGTTGTTCCCTCTAAGACCCTCTCACACTGGATCTTCTGGTTCCTGTCATTCAAGGCTTAGTCTTTCTTGGCATTCTCTGTGCCTAAAACAATTCAGGGAACAAAGTAGGTGCTCTGTAAACTTTTATTGACTAGAACTATGAATAAAGTACTTTAAACAGTATTTATTGGAACCATAATCCTTGAGAATATTTCATCAATTTCTGAGGTTAAAGTCTAAATTTTTTTCCTAGGAGATATGCTTAGCAGTCATGTTGACTTAGAATGTTGCAACTGTATTCAAAGGTTCAAATGACAAATATATTGAAACATAGTTACCGAGTGCAGAGGGAAGGTGAGTAAAGATTGGAGGAAGGTAGGAGGCAAAGCAAAGTCAACACAGGTTACATTTGTGCTGATTCATAGCTGCCTCATCTAAGCTCTCTTGATTGTTAAAACATATTAGTTCTTTGAGAATATGCTGGAAAACTGACAAGTCGATATACCTAATGGCCCAAGTCTTGACCCAATTCCCCCGGTGCAGAAAAATTAATATCCACTTCAATTATGTACACACACATAGATAGAGAATCTCACTATGAAAATGGTGGATGGTGTAAGTATTAAATACCAAATGTTAATTACTTCTTAACAAAAATCTTCATACTTTTATGTCACAGACTACCCAGGAGTGATATTCAGATATTTAATATCTGATATGGTAAATATTATATATATCTCTCTATATGCCCAAAATTAAAAATAAATTTCCTTTTATTTTTTAATTATGATAAACTATATATAGCATAAAATGGGTAACAAGAGCAAATCAGTAACAAATTATTATAGTTTCCAGTAATTTGTGGTTTTTATAAACTGTCTGTGTGTCTCTGGGGCTACTTAGATTGCCAGTGGGTGCCTTTCTCTATGAAAGCCATCAGTTCCTATTGGCCAGACTTTTCCTGTAGCTGTGATGCTCAGTGTTTTCCTAGATCCCTGTACTGCTTTCTGCTCTTGTCTCAATGAGGGCCAGGGGAAGTAGAGTCCCAGAGTGTTTCACCATCCCTTGCGGTAGCTTAACCCTACCCCAGCTTTGTAAATAGGTGATATGGTTCGGCTGTGTCCCCACCCAAATCTCACCTTGAATTGTAGTTCTTATAATCTCCATATGTCATGGGAGGGACCAGGTGGAGAAAATGGAATCATGGGGCAGTTTCCCTATCCTGTTCTCATGATAGTGAGTGAGTTCTCACAAGATGTGATGGTTTTATAAGGGGCTTCCCCACTCTGTGGGCATTCATTCTCTCTCCTGCCACCCTATGAAGAGGTGCCTTCCACCATAATTGCACGTTTCCTGAGGCCTCTCCAGCCATGTGAAACTGTGAGTCAATTAAACTTGTTTCCTTTATAAATTACCTAGTCTTGGGTATTTCTTCATAGCAGTGTGAGAACAGACTAATACAATAGGTATTTCATTAAACTTTCTTCAGCCACTGTTTTTGTTTGGTTTTTGTTTGTTTTTTTGGGGTTTTTTTTTTTTTTTTTTTTTTTGAGATGGAGTCTTGCTCTGTCACCTATCCTGGAGTACAGTGGCACAATCTTGGCTCACTGCAACCTCTGACTCCTGGGCTCAAGCAATTCTTCTGCTGCAGCCTTCTGAGTAGCTGGGACTAGAGGTGTGCACCACTACACTGACTACTTTTTGTTTTTTTTTTAGGTAGAGACAGCATTTCACCATGTTGGCCAGGCTGATCTCAAACTCCTGACCTCAATTTATCCACCTGCCTCAGCCTTCCAAAGTGCTGGGATTACAGGCATAACCCACCATGCCCGGCCTCTTCAGCCACTCTTTTTGAGTGTTCATTTTGCTACCTGCAGGAACCTTCTTTAATACAACTTTATATATTGACTTGTAATTCTTTATATGCAAATCTTTTTCCTTGGGGTTAATTATGCGCCCCTCAAAGGCTAGGATTATTATACCTTATATAATATACCTTATATATTATACCTTATATAATGTATTCCCAGCACCAACCATTATGAGGTAAATCTTATAAAGTTCACTTCAGGATAATAATAATAAGTTATAATATATCTGTTGTAAACTAGGGAAGGTTGGGTATGATCAGGTTGAAAACTCTGTTGCAGAGTGAGAGTATAAGTCTACCCTTGGGATGTTTACCTGCTAGAGAAGGAGCAGGTAAACATGCAACGGGAGCTGGGCACCTCTTAGGAAAACATCTTGAAATACCTTGGTTGGGGTGAATTGACTTAACTCTTGGTAGACTTAAAATGCATGAGCCATGATTCCCATGTCTCTGCTCTAACACACCCAATTGTGGCAAAGCTCACATTATGAAAATGTGCAATCAGGACCAGTGTCCTGGGTCTAACCCCCTAGGTCTTAGATTTTCTGGGGAAGCATAAGTTATGGTCCTTAGTACACAGCTGAAGCTAGAAATTGTTCCATCCTCATCTCTCCTGGACAGTGGCATGCCAGAGAAAAAAAAATGACTATATATATCCACCTATATTTTGAGATCCCAGGCCTGAAGACAGTAGGGAGGGAGACCTCCTCTTTCTTCCAATGAAGGGAGAGAGGATGAAGATGCTGGGACTATGTGGACAAATTATGGCCAGTGTTTCAACCAAACCATCTCAGATCACGAAGTCTATGGGACAACAGGAACTCCATGTAGCAGATAGCAGCAGAGACTGTTAGAATTTTCTACTGGCATCAGGGCTACTTGACTCCTTGAATGGAATAAGCCCCTAGGTTGTTGGATTTAATGCGGGTGTTAATTAATTAGGAGGCCAGTAAGCTGAGATGTCCCCAGTACCTTGAGTCTTAAGTAAGCAAACTAAAGCTCAACTCAGCACGAAGGTCATATCCTAGGAAAACAAGAAACTTATCAGAAACTGCCAGCTAACCTCTAAATAGTGACTTTTTGCCTTAACCAAGAAAATATTTTCTCTGCATTGCTTCCATAAACACCTTATCAAAGTTTTCCTCTCGCACCCCTCAGTGAAGCCCAAATTGCTTGTGGTTTGGCACTGCCCAGCTCATGAATGTCTGTCTGCTCAAAATAAACTCTTTAAAATTTTAATGTGCCAAAGTTTATCTTTTAACATAGGAAAGAGATTTCCAGAGGGAAAGAATGTTCTTGCTATTCTGAGATGGATGCTTGAGTGACTTAAAATGAATATTTAAACGCTATGATTTTATTTTATGGATGCCAGTTTGGCAAAGAAAGGTGTATACTTCCACAGCTCCCTCTTTTCTCAGGACAAAATCCAAACTTCTTGTCATGTCCTTCAAAGTCCTTAGGCCTGTGGGCCTTGTTCCCAGATCCTACCTCCTTGTCTCTCCTGCTGCCTACCTTGTGCTTTAATGCTTCACTCAGATTGAATGTCTTCTCTTTGAATACACTGTGCTCATTCTCTCTCTTTTACACCATTAACTGTGCTGAGCCTCCTCTGGGATTCTACCCTTGCTGCCCAACCATAGCTCCACCTCATAACCGCAACTTGTCTTGCCTGCAAATCTCAGGTCAGATGTGATTGCCCTCCCTGAGAATTCACCTCTGACCCATGGATTCCAGCATAGGTGGCCTGACCAGGTGCACCCCCAGCATTATCTCATCCCTTAGCACAGAGTTGTAGGTTGAACTTTGTTCCCCAAAAAGAGTATGTTGAGTATGTTCAAGTCCTAACCCCAGATACAAATAGGGTCTCTCCAAGTGTAATTGAGTTTAGATGAAGTCACACTGGGTTAAGGGTGGGTCCTAATCCAATTCCTGGTGTCCTTATAAGAAGACTATTTCTTATTACTACTTATTGTTTCATCCCGCCAAACCGAAGGCTGGACTACCCCAAAAATGGCAGAGGAGAATTCCCACAATTTCATCCTGAGATGGGCCGGTTGGAATTCCAAAGAAAGAAGCCCTAAATGCTAAGGTGATCAGTCCAAAGCATTTATTAGGGGAATTTACTTACAGTATGGCAGTCCGCACAACAGATGAGAGAAAAGGCAAATTCTACCTAGATATGTCTGCGGTGAGGGGGTCAGAGTATGGAATCCATGTGAAAGTTTAAGGAGTTTGGCTCAGCACCAGGACTAGTTTCTTTTGGTATCTCAACAAACTAGATATCTTTATCAGGGTCTGGAAATATTAAGACCATGATTTAGCTTTAAGCCTGCTGGGAAAAACCTGCAGCTGGTTGGGTCATCAAGTGGTCAAGGCACTCTGTGATTTCCAGTCAGTACACAGAAAGAAAGTGAAGGAACTGGAGGACCCTATAATTCACCCCTCTGACTGGCTCTTACAATTTCACAGTCCCACCTTTTCTGTGATGTTCCCTAAGCAGGCAGAAAAGGGTGGGATCTCCTACAAAGTCCTTTTTCCCTAAGTTTATGAAACACTGCCAACAAAACCTACGCTAACAGTAAATACAGATGCACATGATGAGACCTAAAATCACAGTTCCCAAAAGACTTACTAGGAGAACTTTCCAGCAAGGACTGCATCCCCAAAACCATGATATTATTTCAGACCACTAGGAGTTATCCCCCCTATGGCCAATTAGCTATAACTGCTTTTGTAAATGAGAGAGGAATTTATTAACTTTAGCTTCTTTAGGATGCATACACAACATTCAGTTTTTTTAAAGGGTACAGGTTCTGTGGTCAGTAAAGAATGTCACTTTCTAACAGGCCTGGAAGCTCCAAGTTTGTCTTGGGACCTCAACAGGAGAGGATCACCCAACTCACAGGTATTTGAGGATACAAACCCATCACTGGGGTTGGTTTTAAAAGTCTTATCCGGGCACGGTGCCGCCTGTAATCCTAGCACTTTGGGTGGCCTAGGTGGGTGGATCACCTGAGGTCAGGAGTTCAAGACCAGTTTGGCTATCATGGTGAAACCCCATCTTAAAAAAAAAAAAAAAAAAAAAGTCTTATCTGAAATTCCTGGTGGAATAGAATTTCACCAAAGCTGATCCAAAAGGCCTATGTAGAAATAACCGTTCTTGCTATACTTATGCAAATAATCAGGCCAATTATAAGACTAAAGTTTATTCTATGAACAACACACACAGCCCTATTATAATTTGCTTTTACCAAAAATGAGGACTGGAGAGAAAAGTTGTGCTCCAAAGCTTATCATACATTTGTCATTAAATCCTAGTCTCATTAATCGTTTTTAAGCCTTTTGCCTACATTTAAGACTAATCCTGCTTATTCCTGTGAATCAAGTGGTGATTTCCTGCAGCTTGGAAGAAAGAAAAAGGGATGGATAATGTAAAAAATCTGGATCAATATGCTAGTTCTCGGCAATTATCCTGCAAATTCTGCAAGGTAATGAAAGTGAGAAGGGTGTCCATAACCTGGAGGTTTCTTTCTTTGGGAAAATAAAACCAAGGAACTTCAGAGACCCCCAAAGGGAAATTCTATATCTTGAATTAACACCTCTAGTAAAAGTAGAGGAAAATCTACAGGTACTTAAAGATCAACTCAAAATCATTGACAGGCTCAGGGAAAATGCCGGCTTCAGCCCCAGGTAGCTACAATTTCTCCTTAATGAATTCCAGTCTTCCTTATGAAGCTGGTTAACCCCTTTATTAAGCCCTCCCTTGCTTATGTCTTGTATTGATTGGACCCTGTATACTCAATACTAGAACTCGAATTGTTTCTTCTCGCCTGGAAGCAATCAAACTCCAATGGTGCTCCAAACTGAAACACACATGGACATGCTATTCTTTTGAGGACCCTTAGATCCACCTCAGGAGGAGCCCTAGCTGCTGTTCCCCATTGGACGCCCTCTTTCAGCAGGAAGTAGCCAGAAAGAGTCCTCACCCAAAACCCCCTAACAGCAGTTAGTGTGACATCTCCACAGGGAGGAATGTTGTAGGAGTTATGAAGAAATTATTTTAGGCGGATAGAGAGGAAAAGGGGTCCTTGGGAAGTTTTCATTTTTAAAGCTGCTCTGGACACGTTTCTTGTAAAGCCCTGGCAGAGCCAGGTGAGGAACCTTTGATATGCAAATGTAGGCCGTTAGAAACTGGGTCTACCCAAACCGGGAAATTCTCGTCCTCTTCTTGCCCTTTCTCCGCAAATGCCTAGCAGCATGGCCGCCCCCCACATATCCCCACGTGTGTAGAATATCATGGTGCCCTGCATTTGCTGATTAAAAGGCCAGGGTGGGAGGGCCAGCTTTTTCGAGGGCTACGTGAATGACAGGCCTGGTCAAACCAATCCCCTGATCCCTATGCAAATCAGACACTCTCTCCTCCAGCCTACTCATAAAACTGGTTGATATCATCGGCCCCTGTGGCACTTGGGGTCTTCTCTTTCGGCTTTGGAGCCCCCTTCCTCTGTCTCTGTACAGGGGAGCCTGTTCCTTCTACCTTCTCTTTTCTTTCTTGCCTATTAAACTCTCCACTCCTTAAAACAAAAACAAACAAACAAAAAAAGGATTTTGTTATTCCCAATAAAGCTCTGCCACCCAGGAGAGCGTCCCTGCTGTAGGGGTGAGCCATGCAAAACCATCCCACACTTGCCAGTGTGATCCCCATTGCTGGGATATGGTATTTTTCAGGGCAGTTCTGTCTTTGGTGCTTGCCTCCCTGCAGGACATGTTTAGAGAAAACCTTACATTATGTCCAGGATTGCTCAATGTCACATCCCATGTTTGAGTGTGTGATGTCAGAAGTATCTAGGATACCCATTTCCCTGCGTTCATAATCCACATTTGCAGAGATCCAGTCTTCACTCAGCAGCAGCTCAGCCTGTCATGGAGTTCCTCCTTGGCTGCTCAGGGGCATAAGACCACATAGCCAGGGGTTAGATTGGCCTTGCATACAGGCTGGGTGATGGGCCCAGGCCAGGAAAATGTCCTCTGAGGATATTCAGGCCCTAGTGGGAATGATATAACAGAAAAAGAGAAGGATGCTCAGGTTAACAGCAAAAAGACAAGGCTGCTGAGCTTATTGCAGAGGGAAGGTCTGGTACTAGTTTTGTCATACAGGTTTGGCAGGAGGCTGTGAGAATCTCTCCTGGGGGGTTTGCTAGACCTCTGTCTCAATGTGAGAGGAGCTGCTGACTCCACAGTGACAGGGCTGGGTGAGATCCACTGGACTAGTGCCACTCCAGTGCCCACCAGTATGGGGTACTGCCTGCCTACTGCCTGTGCATCTCCCAGGGCCTTTATCAAAAAGGAAAGGGTCGGGTTCAGGGCGGGGGTGTGCCCCCTGCCTCAGGGGAAGAAGGATAGCAGTCCAGCCTGGTGGCATTTTCTATCCTAGGTCCCATCTCAAAGTTCCCTGATCAGATGTTACGGGACAAGAGGAGTGCAAAATCAGGGCATTCTGTGTGGAACTGAGTTCTGTTCTGAAGACAGTGTCTCACTTTTTCCATACCCGCACGGCTTGCACCAGGTTATTTACGTCTTCCCGATGTTCATAAGATGACAGTTTTCCCACAACAGGGGGTGCATTCAAGGCATGTATAGCTTCCATGAAAACCACAACCCAATTTCTCAGTGAGGAGAGTCCTATCAAGAGCTTAATTCATTCCCTTAGGAGGCCATTTTTTTCTCTCTATAATTCCTGCTCCCGGTTGCTGGAAGGGCAGATGAAATTGCCTCTTTTTCAGTTCCATCTTGGATTAGGGACCTTGTGCAATGTGTTCCTTGATCACTGATGGTAGTTCTTGGGGTACCATCCGTTAGTTGCAAGCATTGCAAACCCCGTACAATCGCTGTCTGATTTACTTTTCCGCAGGGGAGAGCCCGCAAGAGGCCATTCACAGTGTCTACCCTTGTGAGTGCATATCAATGTCTCTTACTGTTAGGGAATGGGCCAATATAATCTATTTGCCATGCGTCCATGGCAAATAGATTTCTCCCCTCTTTTTATGTTTCTAGTGGCCCCTGGCACTTGTCAAGGTCAGGCTTGGCAACAGACAGGGCAATTTTGTATTATCTTTTTTATTTCTTGTTTGGACGCTGGCAAACCAGCTTGTTGGGTCAGTTTCAAAGTAGTGTGCAGCCTGCTATGACCTCCCATCCAATGTATCCAATGTGCTATACCTGCTCCTTCAGAGATGACCAGAGACCTGGCGTGGGCGAGAGTACCTACATCTGTATTTCCACTGGGGGATGACTGTTGGTAAGATGCAATGTGGAACACTGTGACTTCAGTCCCTGGTTGGTGTAATTGATCCCAAATGTTTGCCCATAGTTCTGCCTCCCACAGCAGCTTTCCATTTATGGACCATTGATCCTTTTCCCATTGGTTATCCACAGCGTCAACCCCTTTGTGACTGCCTGGGAATCAATATACAGAGCTACTGGGTGTGGCTATGTATTAAGCCATTCTTGCATTGCTATAAAGAAATACCTGAGACTGGCTAATTTATACAGAACAGAGAGGTTTAATTGGCTCATGTTTCTGCAGGCTATACAGGAAGCATAGCACCAACATCTGCTTCTGGGGGGACCAGTACGCTTTTACTTATAGCAGAGGGTAAAAGGGGAGCCTGCAGTTCACATGGCAAAAGTAGGACCAAGAGACAGAGTATGGTTGTCGGGGGTGGAGGTGTTATATACTTTTAAAAGACTAGTTCTCATGTAAACTCTGAGAGCTCACTTAGCACCAGGGGGATGGCCCAGGCCATTTGTGATGATGTCAAACTTGACTGGATTGAAGGATGCCTAGATAGCTGGTAAAGTATTATTTCTGGGTGTGTCTGTGAGGGTGTTGCCGGAGGAGATTCACATTTGAGTCAGTGGGGCTGGCAGACGAAGACCCACCTTCAGTGTGGGTGGGCACCATCCCTTTGGCTGTCAGTGTGGCTAGAACGAAGCTGGTGGGAAAAGGTGGGATAACCTTGTTTGCTGAGTTCTCTGGCTGCCTTCTTTCTCCCATGCTGGATTCTTCCTCCCACTCCTCCTGCCCTTGGTCGTTAGACTTCAGGTTCTTTGGCCTTTGGACTCTGGCACTTGCACCAGTTGTTTGCCAGGAGCCCTCAGGCTTTTGGATGTAGACTGAAGGCTGCCTTGCTGGCTTCCCTGGTATGAGGCTTTTAGACTCAGACTGAGCCACTGCTGGCTTCTCGCTTCCCCAGCTTGCAGATGGCCTATTGTAGGACTTAGCCTTGTAATTATGTAAGCCAACTCTCCCTAATAGACTCCTATATATAGGAGACGTGTATCTATTTATCTGTCTTACTTGTTCTGTGCCTCTAGAAAACCCCAACTAATATGCCATTCATGAGGGATCTGCTCACAAGATCCAGATACCTCCCACCAGGCTCCACTTCCAACACTGGGGATTACAGTTCAACATGAGTTTGGGCAGGGACAAATATCCAAACTATATCAGGCTTTTTCATAACCACTAAGCAGGTTATCTTGTAATTCTGCCCACTGGCTGCAACACCCCATTCCAGGTTCCACCCCCATCGTATCAGTGGCTAGTGGAATAGCCACTGCAGTCCACCGGGGTGGCTAACCCACGCTGGAGCCATCTGTGTACCGAGCATCCTTGGGTGGGTTCCTATCTCTGTCCTTTATTTAATGGGGTTTCTCTGGGCGTGGTGTTGGGATTGATTTTAAATCTACACTGTGTTGTGCAGGTCCCAGCGGTTCTGTAGACAGAGGGCTAGATGGAAGGTGCCCTCTCTGCTCGAGATATGCATACCACCTAAACAGAGTCCTGTTGTGCTCTGGCTGATGGAGGTCTGGCAAATAGACCATCAACCCAAACCCTGATAGGATAGTCTGTTTTTACTTCCACTAGCATATCTCCAGTTAGGGCCTCTGTTTGCAAGAGGACTTGGTAAACTGCAAAGAGTTTTCATTTTTTCCAACAGGGTATAGCATTGCTGGGCTCCCCTGAACAATCGTGACCAAAAGCCAATGGGCATTCGTTGGTTACCCTTCCTCTGCCAGAGGGTCCAACCCATTGTTTTCCTGAGTCACAGAAACACTGAATTCAAATGGTCTCTGAGGGGTGACAATTTACAGGACTTGTGCTTGCATCACTAAGGCCCTCCTCTGAGTAAAGGAGGCTTCTTTAGTGCCCCAGTCCTGATATGCATTCTTCTTTATTAGGAGCTATAATGGTCTGAGACATAGGGCCAAGTAGGGAACAAAGGTCTGTCAATATTCTAACAGGCCTTCGAAGGGTTGTAATTCTATAATGGCGTGGGGCCGTGGGTAAACCTGTATCTTGTCACTCATGGCTGCTGGCTTACCTGACCAGACCACACCCAGGAATTTTACAGTGGCCCCTGGCCCCTGGCCCCTGGACTGTCTTTGGGTTGTCAGTCCATCTTCTGGATTGCAGGTGCTCTAGAATCTTTTGGGCACCTTCTGCAAAAGACCCAAATCTGCAGAAGTTAGCAAAATATGTCCACATAATGATTTCAGAGACTGCCAGACATATCACTCAAAATGGCCAGGTCTCTGGCTACCAAGCCATGGCAGATAGTGGGGCTATGCAAGTACCCTGGGGGAGCACCTGAAAGGTCCTCCCAGGTGAAGAAAATAATGTTCTGGGACTTTGGGTCTAAGGGTGCTAAAGAAAGCCCGTGCTAAATCCAGGACAGTATGCCATATACCTAAACAAGTAGCCAGGCTTCCCAGTATTTAAGCCACATTTGGAATAGTGTCATGTCTGGGCAGAGTCATCTTATTTAGTTCCCAGCAATAAGCCATCATTCTCCAGGTGCCACAGGCTTTCCTGCCCACTATACAGGGCTGTCGTATGAACTGTGTGTAGAATGCACAATCCTCACTCTCTCCACTCCCTGAAGAGTAGCCATTGTTTTCTTGGTGCCCACCTGGGAGATGGAAGAGTTGGCAGCACCAGCCCACTCCTCCTGCTCATGCCATCTGTATGGGTTCCACAGCCCCTCATCCTCAGCCTGCATGAGCCACCTGCCACTCTGCTGCCCCGCCAGTCTGCGCCAGGCTGCCTGTCCACACCATGGCCGCTGCTGCAGACCCCACTTCTGTCCAGCACAACCTGACCGTGTGTGACGGTTAATACTGAGAGTCAACCTGATTGGGTCAAAGGATGTAAAGTATTGTTCCTGAGTGTATCTGTGAGGATGTTGCCAGAGGAGATTCACATTTGAGTCAGTGGACTGGGAGAAGAAGACCCACCGTCAACATGGGTGGGCACCAGCCAGTCAGCTGCAGTATAAAGGAAGGCAGAAGAAGGTGGACTAAGCTGGCTTACTCAGTCTTCCGGCCTTCATCTTTCTCCCATGCTTAATGCTTCCTTGAACATCAGACTCCAGGATCTTCAGCCTTTGGACTCTTGGACTTACACCAGTGGTCCCCAGCAAATGACAGAAGGCTGTACTGTCGGTTTGTCTGCTTGTGAGGTTTTGGGACTTGGACTGAGCCACTACTGGCTTCCTAGCTCTTCGGCTTGCAGACAGCCTGTTGTGGGACTTCACCTTCTGATCATGTGAGCCAACTCTCTTTAATAAATTCTCTTTCATATATACATTTATCCTATTAGTTCTTTCCCTCTGGAGAACCCTGACTAATACACCAGGCCACTACTGCAGCCACTGTCCACCCCTGGCCACCGGAGACTGGGTCTCCTGGTGCCTCCTCTTTTCCACTTTTTTCTTTTCTTTTATTTGTCTCTCCACCACCAGCAGGTAGTACTCAGAACTGCCACCACCATCCAAAGCTCCCGTGGTGGCAAAACTGACGCTGCAGACTCCTCAGGCACCTCTCTGCAGAGCACCCTTTCTCCGTTTTTCTTCTCTTGGGTGTGTATGTAACTGACAGAGTGGTGGTGCTGCACATGCCTTTTTCCAGCGGGTTCATCAGTGTTTGGAAACCTCTGTCAGGGTGCTGGCTCCATGGACTACATCCTCTTCTAGCATCATCCTCGCCTGGACCCACCCCATGTTCACTGTTCCATGGGACTCTGCAATGCTGGACCTTAGCATATACACTGAGGGTCCCTGCCAGGACCCACCCACTAAAGAAAGGACCTAAATCACTCCTATATTGTCTCTTGATGGAAGAACAGAAAATACATCACACAGGGCTCTCTCCTTTGTGTCTTCCCCATAGAGGTCGTATTTGCTGGCAATGTAGTTGAGAATTTCTCTGGTCTGCGCCAGCTTCATCCCATCAATCTCAACATTGGCACTTTCTGGAACATCAAATTCCCATCTTTAGAAAGAAGGAAAAGCAAGGAGAGTGAAATGTCTATGAATCCCACTCTTTTAGGAGGAAAAGATGGTTGTGGAAATGACTAAATTTGTGAAATAAAAAAGAAATTATTGCCCGATAAGATTTCACTTGAAAGTGCATTTTTAAAAAGCTTCCTGTACTCCTTCTTTTTGTTAACAAGCTTCCTTTTACTTTTTATTGTGTTGTTTCATTTATGTTTTTATTTCCCCTCCAGATACGTAGTAGGACTCTTGTCTTTTTTGTGTTGATTTATCTTCATGGATATTTTAGGAAGATGTTGGGATAGGTTACAACAGGACTGCCAGTAGGATGCCATTTAAAACGGGAGGTTCCCAGAATAAGTCTCATAACGTTTGTGACATTTAAGGCAGGTTCTGAGAGGTTTTTATGTAAGGGTTCCTTTCTGTGCTCTTCAAAGCCTGCAATATTGCTTTACTATTACCTTGTCACACCCCCCATGAAAGAACAAAACTCAAGACAATGGCCACATCTATTTCTCTTCCTTTCATCTAATCCATGTCCTTGCATGTCTTTGGATGGGGAGGCCTGTGTGGGATCCTGAGCTGATCACCACAGCTCATTCATGGTGACCTAAGCATGAAAACAAGGAAAGGGCATTCTCAGGGCGCTGGGGATAGTTCTTGTAGCAAATACACTGAGAACTCTAGTCCTTTCAGCCTGGAGGGAGTTGCCAGACCTGATCAAAGAGCCACAGCCCTTCCATTTTAAACAGTTACTCCCTCTCCACCATGCGCAAATACCACCCTACATAAACATACGCATTGCCGGCTGTTCAAATTTCCTTGTGTACCTTCTACTACACACCCTCATCAGAGGCACTTAGAGACTTCATCTTACCATTTCTGAACTTGTCCAAATCCTCTGCAGATTCTAGAAATTTCTCATCAAACTGGAAGCAGAAAGAGTAAATGGGTTTTTGTTCATTCCATCGCATTATAAACTTTTGACTTTGAAAAGCCCCTATCTGGCGCATCATTTGGAGAATATAATATTTCTAAGTTTGGCAGTGCACACGGAGGGGCTGGTCATGGCCGTTTGTAAATTTAGACCTGATTCATCGAGGAAAGGGCATGGGTCACAGTACAGATCTGCTCAGTCTTCTCATTCGTTTCACCTCCAGCCTGGTCTCACGAATGTCTACGATTAGGTCATGTTTTGAGAGGGGATGTCACTAGAGGATTCTCTAGTTTCACCTCCTACTGTATTTTCTCTATTGTGTCTGTATTTCTCTATTGTGTCTTTCCCTGCGTTAATTTGACATGATGTATTCAATATCAGCTTTCCCCCTAGACCTTGAGCCCCTGAGAGCAGAGCCTTCTTGTTTGAGTCCAGTCCTCAATGTCCTGTATAAAACCTGGACATCGTAGGAGCTCCTAAAATAAGATAGCTTTTAAATTTACATGGAAAAATTCTAGCAAATACAAAAGTAGAGAGAATCATATAACAAGCCTGAAGGTACCCGTGACCTGGATTCATCAATTGCCAGCAACCTTCCTTCATCAAATACCATGCGATGGGTTAAGTTGTATTGGCTCCCAAGAAAGATAGGTCCATGTCCAAATCCCTGGTTCCTGTAAGTGAGATCTTATTTGGAAAAAGGCTCTTTGCAGATGTAATGAAGTTGGGGAACTTGAGATGAGATCATCCTGGTGTATCCAGATAGGCTCTAAATCCAATCACAAATGTCCCTGCAACATAGACAACAGAAGACACAGACACACAGAGGCTGAGGTGCTGGAAGCCCCAGGCAGAAAGTAGAGTGACGTGGCCATGATCCATGAAAGTCCAGAAATGCCAAGAGCCCCCAGAAGGTGTAAGAGGCAGGGAATTATTGTTCCCTAGAGCTTCCGGGGGAATCTGGCCCTCACACCCTGACTTCAGACTCCTGGCCTTCAGAATTGTAAGAAAAAGTATTTCTGTTTTTTCAAGCCACCCAGTTTGTAGGAATCTGTGAGAGGAACCACAAGAAAATAATACAAAGTCCCACCTACTCCCCGCACTACCCGGGGATTCTTTTGAAGCAAATCCCAGACAGCATATCATTTAATCTGTAAATACTAGTATTGCTCTCTAGAAAGGAAGAACTTCTGTTCTGAACATAGTCACACGATTCTCTTATCATATTAAAATTCTATAATTCCTCAATTTCATTAAAGTTTCAGCATTCTAGTTCACGTAAGTGTCCCATGAAAATTTCTTAGCTGTTTGTTTATTTTGGTCAGCATCCGAGCAAGGTCCTTACAAAGCATTTGAGGAATGTGGGTCAATATTTTTTTAAGAAATTAATGAATGAATACAGATAGATAGAGTGTGTGGGGATTTGTGAGTTCTGAAAGCCCAGTCTCGTATACCCAGGTTCTGGAGGCGTGATAGAGCTGTGCATGGATCTGTGCAGATGTCATTGCCCATTGGTGATGAGCCACTGGGGACCCAGCAGGCCAATCCCCACACCATGAGCTCACAGGACAGTGGAGCAGACACAGTGGCCTTCAGGTGTTATTAGAGGCTCACTGGGGCTCTGTGGAGAGCACAGAGGACAGCCCCACTGCTCCTGGGAAGCAGTGAGGTAACGTTAAGTGTGGCCACTGGGAAGAAGCTTGCCAGGCAGGGGTAACAAATGCACCCAGGCAGAAAGGCAAGAGGCCCTAACCATGCTCAGAGGGTTGATTGGGCTGGAGATCAGGGAGTGAGGATGGGTGTGAGGATACGTTCTGTATGCAGTGAGGAATTCTGTGATTTTGTGTGTGTGTGTGTGTGTGTTTTAGAAAAACTACTCTTGTTATAAGCAGAGAGGAGACGAGAGCAAAGTGAAGCTGCAGGTAGGAAGCCTGTGTGTCTGTCTGCTCCCTCACCCACCTTCACCAACTGTGGGGAAGCCACTCTCAGAGGAGGAGAGCTCACTTTGCAGAAGCCCAGGTATCCTGGGAGGGATTAGCATTGTAGGCACAGTAGAGGCTGAAGCTAGGAAGCACTCCTAATCCAAGCACTCTGGCACATTGACACACCAGGGAAAAATGATTTTGCATTTAGTTACTTGTATGTGATTCACAGATACCATCTGCATCTTGGCAGCCCAGGCCTGAGTGGCACTGAGGGAACTGAGGGAAGGCTCATGCCCGGGGCCCCACAGAGCCTTAAGGAGCAGAGTGAGGATGAGCCAGGAGCACACGCACTGTGAGGGACAGCAGGGTGGCCTGAGAGCAGAGGGCGGGTCTGCTTGCTCCTCAATGTTTCCTCACCTCCCAGAAAACTGAGGAAGCCACAGCAGATGGAATAGCTGTCTTGAAAATGTGTCAGAAAGAATGCTTTTATCAGAAATAAACTGACTGTCCAGGAAAAGAAGAAAGTGTCTTTAAGCCATTACCCAGAATGGTAACTCTTTCCCTGTGCATACCTGAAAATGTCAGACGTACGTTTCTACACCTGACTTTTTAATAAATTGTATGACAAATGTTACAGGACAATTCTTGGAAAAGTCAAACACACCACATAATCTATAGTTTCCTTTTTTACTAAATTTTTAATTCCAAGAAAGTGATATGATAGGCTAGGAGGAGATTGGAAATCTGAATTCATATCAGATCCTAATGAAAAGAAATCAATTTTAACTAAGTCGGCAAATAGGAGTTTTCTATTATTTAATTACCATGTAAGTGGAAAGAGTTCATAAGCCTCACAACAGGCACAATCAACAGTTAGGTAAAGCACTTTATTGTTGCAAAGGTTTAGAATATTGGCCTTGCATGTTTTTGGCCTCCATGGCTGCTTTATTAAAACCTGAAAATCTTCCTTGCTTCTTCTAAAGTTTTCGCATCCATGGGAGGCTTCCTCGGGCTGCCAGGCTGCAGAAACTTCTTCACCGTGGGCAGGTTGCTGATTCTGGTTTTCAGGGCCTGTAATTCACACAGCACAGCCTCAGAGTGAAGCCAAGGGCTAACGCCACTATTAACACAATCTAGGGAGTCTGAGCCCTCCTGCCAAAGACCAGGTAAGTCCCCTCCATCAGCACCAGCATGGAGGCAGAAACAGACACCCAGTGAGAAATGACAATAAGAGGGAGAACATGTAGCTTACTTTGTATCTTCCCCAAAAATGTTTTAATCAGTTCTGTCATCCCTATTTTTCTCCTTACATATTAATCCTATAGATTCGTGGCTGTTGTGTAAGACAAGAAGCAGCAATGTGCCTGTGAGATATCAACATAGGTCAGTCTCTAAGCAGAAGTGAAAATATGGGGAAATTAGTTGGAAAAGAATATATTATAGAAAATATTAAAGACAAACCATGGGACCACTTTTTCTCGTGAGGGATACAGGGTTGGGGCAGTGTTTTGGGAGAGCTGTGTAGAGAGGAACACAACATCTGACAGCAGGAGCCGGAGCCCAGGAAGGAACCAGGTGGAAAGGGCCCTGCTCAGACAGACTCGGTGCAAGAAGACAAGACACATCTGGAATAAAGGGTATCACAGAGAACTCAGGGACAGAAACCATAGGGAATAGAGGGTTAGGGAGAGATTCTGGGCCCTGGGTCCTTTCCATGATAAAAGGTAAAATACTTTTCATGGGGTAGCATGCACCACAAATTTCCTTTCCATAACAAATGTGTTTTCATTTCTCAAAACTGAAGCCTGGAAGCTCATTTTGGAGACCTGGGGGCACTCCAGGCCTGGAGAAGGCTGGGGTTAGAACACGGTCAGTCCCAGGGCCCAGATACTAGATCCCAAGATGGGAGATGTGGGGCTGCCTCTCTGGGTGGTGAAATGGGTCACCTTCAGCAGAGGGAAGCCGGAGATAAGGCTGGAGTCAACCTCTTCCACATAGCAGAGAAGTTCCACCAGCTGAATGTCAGCCCGGCTCAGCTTGTTGCCAACAAGGTAGTCTTGCCCGTGGCTCTTTAAGACCTGGAGATTTTGAGGAATCAGATCAGGAACACATGCGCAGGACCCCTGCTTCTTTCTAAGCCTCTTCACCCTGACTTTCCCCACCTCTGTCACCTTACTGCCTGAGTGCAGAGATCCAGAACTTTCTCCACATCTGAATGAGTGACAGAATAAGAAGTATAGCTCAGCCCACTCCTCAGTTGGAGCTCAGGCTATCATTTTCTCTTCTCATTCCATATCACTGTGGCATCTACATTACCCACCCAGCTTGCCTCTTCCACATGGGCCAAGGGCTTAGCCCCTGCCTCTGCGTGTTCCGTCTGCCCCACGCCCTCCAGCGCGCAGTCCTGACATTCAGGATGCGGCTCTACTCTGCTCTCTCCCTCTCCAATCTCCCCTGGGCAGCAACTCCACCTTCATGACGGCTCTTTTCCCCCAGGAGTAGGCTATTTCAGAGTCTTCATTTCTCCTTGTCTGCTCTCCTCATTCCCTGTTCTATCTCCCTGGGATCTGAAGTAAACCTGGGTGAACTTGAATTCATCATCTTTCTTACAAAATCGATTCTGACTCCTAACCCGCACTACGTTATAACCTGCAAGCTGAAGCATTCAGGGGTGAACTGCACTGATGTCTGCAACTTACTATCAAATTCATTTTACAAAATCTTCCTCTGCATCCCACAGTCACTCTCCTTTTGAAAAGTACCCATCCCTGAAACACTACAATATTCTCTGGTTGGCAGTTGGTCTCGTGTCTTCCTACACATGGTGCCAGAATATTTTCTGATAGATCGCTTTCATCATGTTCGTCTTCAATCAAAGTCTGGTGTTCCACGGACTCAAAAGCAACCCCTAGTGTGGTTCAGAGCTTTCCACAGCCCACATTCTACTTATGAACATGAAATTTTGGTTGAACAGAAAATTTCATGTTGGGGTCTAGTAAATTAAAATTTTATTGAAAAATTACAGCTTGGGTATAACTGGTATAATTGTTCCTCCAAGTCTATTTTCATAAAATCTCTTGAGAGTCAGAGTGCTGCATTGGTGTTCAGGAAGTCTCACTGAAAGTGAAGGTCAGTGTCGCCCAGGAGTGCCCAGCCACTATTTTTCTACTGTCCTCTAAACTCAGTGCCCCAAACACTGAACACCTTCACTTACTTTTTCAAAGGCAGGCAAATAGCGATTTTTTGTTTTCTCTTTGGTCATGGCAACCTTGGCGTCTTTTTCCTCAGGTTTACATAAGGGCAGAAGAAGGATCATTTCATACAAATCTGCCATACCTTCTGTATACATATCAATCCTGAAAGACAAAAACAACCAAACGGTCAAATGCCTTTTGCCTTCGATTTTATAGGTTTATAGAAACCTAAGAGAATAGAGTATCAGGTGTTGATAAAGTAATTCACTTCCAGTGGGTGCCGTTTATATTCTAGAGATTATGCTCTGATTTGTACAGATATATTAATATTTATTTTTTAAAACAACCTATCTAGGTAGATATATCTCTAAATTTTGCTACACATGTGATTTAATACAGGTAAAAAGACTATCGGTGGTCACAGTCATGAGAGAAATCGGTGGAATCACTGCCAGTAATCACGGATGCTGTGCTGGGATTTACCATGTCTATTGTGGTTTGTTCTGTGCATAAACTTAGTGTGAGTCAAATGGCCAAAGACCTGCCTCCTGAGTAATCCTGAGAGTCCCTGGCACAGCCATCTCAGCCATGTTCCTCGCCCTCTCTCATCATTTTACACCTCCCAGGCCCACTTCTATGCCCCATGTTAGCAGTTCCTCCGATTACTCCCATGAGATATAATTCCACAGCCCTCTCCGTGTGCTGTTGCCCAGCTCTGGCCATGTGTGCCTTTCCTGAGACCCCACCTAAAAGATTGACTTCCTTGGTGAAATTCTCTATACAGTTACAACCAGTGCAAACTTTTCCTCTTTCGTGTCAAACTGGGGTTTCACAATATTTTTTTAAAACAACAGCTTTATTGATGTATATTCACATACTATAATTGCCACCTGTTAAGTATGAGTGGTTTTTAGTGCATTCACAGAATTCTGTAAAAATCATCACAGTCTATTTCCAGAATAGTGTTTATCACCCTGATAAGGACATCTGTACCATTAGCAGTATTCGTCCCCAAGCCCCACTCCTTCAGCCCCAGGCAAACACTAATCTACTTTTTGACTCTATGGATTTGAGTATTCTGCACATTTCATATGAAAACAATCCTACAATACATGGCTTTCTGTGTCTTGTTTCTTTCATGTAGCATCTTGTAGCATGCATCAGTACTTCATTCTTTTTCATGACCAAATATCATTTCATTGCATGGCTAAGGCACATTTTTCTCCTCCATTTACTGATTGATGGATATTTGGGTTATTTCCACTTTTTGAAGACTGTGAATGTTGTTATTTGCATTGTTCATTTATCTAAAAGATTTAGTGTGGACGTATTTTTGATTGTTTGGGGATATGCCTATTAGAGGAACTGCTGGGTTGTTGGTAATATCATATTAAAGTTTTTGAGGAGTTACCAACAGTTCCATTCAGGATTTATTTGGAATCATGCAGTCTCATCGCAACAGCAAGGAGACTCCTTGACTTTGCTGGTATTGAACAAATCTGGCTGCTTTGTCCTTCTATCACGTGTCAAGATAACCTCAGCATCCTGGGCACCAGCCTCTACTAGCCCTGCTCAGCTGTTCCAGTCCATATAATTGGTTGGTAATTTGGGTTCCTGGACATCATTCTTGGAATTACTAGGACTTGAGATTCAGCTTCTTTGTAGTCTTCCATCCCCAGTCCTTCATCTACAGACTCAAATATTCTATTCTTGTCATAAGCTATTGGCTGGAATCCAGTCTCTGAAGGCCTGAGCACCTGGAATCATGATTCGCATCCTCCTCAGTTCATGGTTCATCCGTGTTTGGAAATCGCCATCAGGTGCTGGATCCATGGACTGCATCCTCTTCTAGAATCACCCTCGCCTGAACCCACCCCATGTTCACTGTTCCCTCATCTCCATGGGACTCTGCAATACTGCACCTCAGCGTACACACCCAAGACCCAGCCTGCTGCTGGTCATGATGCCCCTGCCATGGTCCCACCCACTCAAGGAAGCACCTAAATCACTCTGTGCTCTCTGTTGATGGAAAAACAGAAAATATACCATACAGGGCTCTCTCCTTTATGTCTTTCCCATAGAGGTCGTATTTGCTGGCAATGTAGTTGAGAATGGCTCTGGTCTGCACCAGCTTCATCCCATCAATCTCAACCATTGGCACTTGCTGGAACATCAAATACCCATCTTTGGAAAAGAATGAAAAAAGGGAGAGTTAAATATCTATGGAACTCTATCTTTCAGAATGAAAAGATGATTGTGGAAATGACTAAATTTGTAAAATGAAGAAGAAATTATTGCCTGGTAAGATTTCACTTGAAACAATGTTTTTATTTAATTTTTATTTTTTTGAGACCAAGCCTCACTCTGTTGCCCAGGCTAGAGTGGAGTGGCATGATGTTGGCTCACTGTAACCTCTGCCTCCCGGGTTCAAGCAATTCTTCTACCTCAGCCTCCCAACTAGCTGGGATTACAGGTGTGTGCCATCATGCCTGGTTAACTTTTGTATTTTTGGTAGAGATGAGGTCTCACCATGTTGGCCAAACTAGTCTCGAACTCCTGACCTCAAATGATCCACCTGCCTCAGCCTCCCAAAGTGCTGAGATTACAAGCATGAGCCACCGCACCCGGCCAAACAACAATTTTAAAAAGCTTCCTGTAGTTATTTTTCTTTAGAAGCTTCCTTTTACTTTTTATCCATTTATTTTACTTATGTTTTTATTTTCCCTCCAGACACATAGTAGGACTCTTGTATTTTTTGTGTTGATTTATCTTCTTGGATATTTTAGGGAGACGTTGGGACAAGTTACAGTAGGACTAGCAACAAGATGCCATTTAAAACAGGAAGTTCCTAGAGGAAGTCTCATGGTGTTTGTGACCTTTAAGGCAGGTTCTGAGAGGTTTTTTTCTAAGAGTCACTTTCTCTGCTATTCAAAGTCTGCAAAAATGCTACAATGTTACCTTGTCACACCTCTCCATGAAAGAAAAAAACTCAAGGCAATTGCCACATCTATTTCTCCTCCTTTCATCTAATGCATGTTCTTGCATGTCCTTGGATGGGAAGGGCTGTGTGGATCCCAAGCTGATGACTATAGCTCATTCACTGTGTCCCAAGCATGAAAACAAAGACAGGGCTTTCTCAGGGCACTGGAGATAGTTCCTCTAGCAATTACTCTAGAGGTCTGGTCCTTTTAGCCTGAAGAGAGTTGCCAGACCTGATCAAGGAGCCATATCCCTTCCATATTAGCCACTTTCTCCCTCTCCACCATGCCCTAATACCACCCCCTCCTCAACCAAACACACACATAGGCATTGCTGGCTGCTCAAACCTCCCTTCTACTAGATACCTTCATCAGAAGCACTTAGAGGTTGATCTTACCATTTCTTAACTTGTCCAATGCTTCTGGAGATTTTATGAATTTCTCTTCAAACTAGAAGCAGAAACAGTAAATGGGTTCTTGTTAGTTCATTGTATTATAGACCGGTGACCTTGAATGGCCCCTATCTGGTGCATCATTTGGAGAATATAAGATTTCTCAGTTTGGCAGGGTACACAGAGGGGGCTGTTCATGGCCATTTGGAAATTTAAACCTGCTTTGTCAAGAAGAATGCATGGGTCACAGAACACAGCTGCTCAATATTCTAGTTCACTTCACCTCCACCTTGATATCACAAAGGTCTATGATTACGTCATGTTTTGAGAGGAGATGTCACTGGAGAAAATGCACTGAGCAGTTCTCCTGTCATGGTGTTGTCATATCTCAGGAAAGCCTGTGTCTCCAGATGAGATCAGACCACAACCTTGTGTGTCCCCAGCATGGGGTATGCCATGGGCTAATCGCCAACAAAGATTCTGCCACCAAGGAGCCTCTGCTGTAATTTATATCACCCCACTTTTCAGGAACCCTGCTGAGGGTGAAATAGGTTGCAGCTGTTGGACAGCTTTAACATTTGTAACTCTAATTTCCTCCTCTGAAGTGCATGGGACACAATAGGGTAAAATTCTCAATTTAATAAAGGAATTAGAGTCCCACACTAACACTATTTTTAATTAAAACCTCTGGTTTCTGATGTGGTATTCTGGGTTCAATATCACCATTTTCATGTACTGGCTTCTTGACTTTGGACATGTTACCGAATTTCTCTGGGTCTGAGTATGCTAATCTAGGAAATGGGTATACTTACGGTACCTATGGTATAGGTTGATATCAATATTAAATTACAAGGTCACACAAAACACTTAGAAAAGTAGCAGGTATATAGTGACTGCTCATTAAATACAAGTTATCTTTAGAATTTTAAGATGGAGTTGGCTATTTCATCATATAATCCCTTAAAAAATTTAAATCACTCTAATATTGATGAAACTATACTTCGTTCTTGATCTACATCCAGTAACTTAAACCTTGGAGTAAATTACACCTTGTTCTGAGACGAGTCACTTTCGTGGAAATGGCAGCCAGCAACGAGAATGTCTCAATCTGATCAGAAGATATGAGTGGATGCATGTATTTAATATAAATATGAAAATCAGTTATTACATAATGATGTAGTTGACTTAAATAGGCAGAATCCAGCAAACAAAAAGTCTAATCAAAGGTTATTAAGACTTTCTGGATTTCAATGTTGTTATGATCTGGTTCCAGTCTTGACTCTGCCTCAAAATATCTGTGTGATCTAGGAATCATCACTTAAAAATCTTTAAGCCTTAGATTCCCTATCTGCAAAATGGGAATAGAATATTTTCTTAAATGGAATATTCCAATGTTTCAAAATGCACGATACAGGGCCTGACCCATATATATAAAGTAATAAATAGCAGTGGTGTTTGCAGTGGGTGATTATACTTTAATGGAGTTCTTTATGATGAAAGGTCAGGAATTTGGAAGTTTCTAGCTTGCTCCATGGAACAGAGTTTGTTGTGGATCTATGCTCACACTGGACCAGGATCTAGGGACCATGGGAGGTGTGTGCCAGAAATTAATACAGCATCCAGTTCAGCACAAACCTAAGGAACGGTGGGTGGTCCTGGCAGGGGGGTGGCTGAGGTGAGGTGGGGCTGGCAAGTGGGATGTGCTTGTGAGGCTGAGGACTGCGTTGTGATCATCAGCCTTAGGGCACTGAGACCCCAGAAGCCTCAGCAAGGTGTGCAGTCAGCCCTGCCCCTGCCTTCAGTCAGGCTGGATGGAGAGCAGGGTCCTGGGTTGCTCCCAGCCTGGCCCCTCCCTCCCTCCTGCTGAACCCTTCCTGCCCAGGCTCTGAACGCATCCCCGAGCTGCAGAGCTGACGTCTGGGTGACAGTGAGACAGGGTATTCATTTGCACAAAGAAAACAACCTGGAATGGCAGTGTATGGATTTCTTGTGTGCTTGTTTCTTCATAGGTTTGAGAAAGGTGAGGCTAAAGTCTCAAGCCCTCGTGAAACAATGGAGAAAAATCCCAAGGCTCAGGTCCACACGGCGCTGGGAGGCTGAAGGGGAGCACTAGAAGTTCCCTTCACAGGGCGCCGCCTCACCTGAAACCCTTCTTTTCTACTGCCACCCGAGAGACAATATCTTCTGAGTCTGTCCATGACTCAGGAAAACCCTCAGACAGTGACTTAGGGGCTCTGGTCTGCACTGGAACGTGTTTTTCTCAATGACACCTCTAGAGGGCAGCACTCAGTGAAGTCCAAAAGACACCTCCCAGCATTTCCTGCTCAGACACTGCGAGGATGGCCTGGTAACGCTGGGGATTGCTTGGGTGTGCTGTAGAAGCCTCCACCCCTCATTTTAACCACGTGTTTACTTGTCTGCATCCTCATGGACTTGTAGGCTGCCCCAGGGCAGGTGCTGTGTCTGTCTTGTTCACTGTCTATCTCCATGACCTAGTACAGAACCTGGAATTAATAAGTGCTCAACCAAATAATTGCTGCGAATGTAGTCAGTCTTTAAGAGGTGGTTCCTTACAATCCACTGTCTTCTGCCTCTCATTTGTAGTTTGCATTTTTACCTCTAATTACAACCATTTTTAATATTATGCATTTTTATTGTTTTATTGTGGAAATTATGAACAGGAATAAAAGTAAACCAAAAAACATAATGATTCTACTTATACTTCTCACCTAGAATCAA